ATTCGGCCAATCACAACGCATTGGATAGCTGGCCAATCACAGCACACCTCGCTTTTCAGAACAATGAGCTTTCAGAACAAAAATCGACGCGTTTCAGAAAGGCGGGGCATAGAGGAGAAACAATAATGTACATTATGTGGAAAATAATGTGTTTTTTAACCTTAAACCGCATAAACACATTTCATTACACCAAATACACCAAATAATGTTCTTTTTAGCAATGTCATATGACCCCTTTAACATATGTATGTGGTTAATAAAAATACCCTACAATTGTACTTTTTTTTGGTATACTAAACTGATATACTTAAAGTCTGCTAAATTGGAACAACTAATTTTGTACTTAATGTAATTTAATTGTGCAGAAGTAGTGCTGAAGTCCAACTAAAGATATACTGAAGTATATTTGATTGTGCTAAAGTGGAACTATTGCAAGTATACTTCAGGTATATATCTTGCATTTAAAGACCGATATTATTCCTCATCAATAGTGACATTAAAACACATTTTAGGCTTAATATTAGGAAATGTGCATTGTGCACAAGTAATACTCCAAATAAAGATTCATTAGAATTTTTTTATCAGTAAGTCTCGAGCAACATGTCAACAGATGTTAGTTTTACTAGGGTATCTCTAGTTGGTGCTTCATAAGTTTGGGGGCAGTAAGATTTTATTATTTATTTTATTTTTATTTTTTGAAAGAGGTTTCACAAATCTGTCTTTACTTCTTTGAAAAAAATTTTTTTAAATTATACCAATCCCAAACTTTTGAACGGTATTGATTTCTGTTGAAATTCTTGGAGATCCAGAGATTGGTCTAATACTAGCACAAACCGGTTGTGTCACATTCTTTTTGAAACACAAAAACAAATTTCACCATAAATTAAATCTGAATCTTGCTTTGGGCAACAAAATTTATATATGAAAAAAAAAGCACACCTGGATATAGTACACAGAGATGGTGAACAGATGTTGAACATCATAATTGTTACAATATCACGAATTCCAGCACAGATGGATCACAGTACTGACCAATCAGAATCCAGGAGCTGGATGATATAATTCTAATCACACTACTATCAATAAAACACACCAGCCTCACAGGAAATGTGTTTCTGGATAAACACAGTGGAGTTGAAGCCTTATGGAGCGTTTCAGATCCTGCGGTCAGACTCACGATATGGAGTGTGAGCGTGACAGCCGTACACCTGCGAGAGAGCCGATGGTCTTATTGATCAGTCTCAGATAAAACACACACTCCAGGTGACTCTATTAAACAAACCCCCAAGAAATACAAACACACTTTAATGTTCCACCATCTGTCCTGCATCCCTCAAAACACACACACACACAAGTGATGGACTGATTGTAATGCATCTCACACACACACACAAATACCACACCAGACCAGCGGCACCAGTGCCATTTTTCGACATTAGTTTGATGGGACCATCTGCTCTGTGTGTGTCGGTGTACAGACAGGATGGCACAAGCAAACGGCCTGTTTTTTACCCTTCAGCATTAAAATAAATGCTGGCACACACACACACGTTTGTTTTTGTGAATTGTGGGGACTTTCCATAGACTTCTATTACTTTTATACTGACCAAACCATATTTTTTATCCCCTAACCCTAAACCTACCCCTTACAGAAAACCTGTTTGCATAGTTACACACACAGATAAACATAATTTACTATTTTTAACCATTTTTTCCCTCGTGGGGACCGCAGGCTGTGGTCCTATATATATATATATATATATATATATATATATAAGTCAAGAAGAATACATCAACTTTTAAAGATGTTCTGAGAGCCCTGTGTTTCATCATGAGAACATACCTTACATGAAAATCCTCCAAGAAGTAAATCTGATTTAACATGACTCTAAATCAACCTCATAATAAAGACATCCTTAAGATGAATATTGGACTACAAAAAAAACAACAAAAAAGCAACATTGTGTATGTGCATACAGAATTTAAATTTTTGGGAGAATTATCCCTAGCGTTCAAACGATATAAATCCAGCTTAAACTCTGATTTTGTAAAATGTTATTTTCTATCAAAGACAAAACAAATATACAAAATGAAAAAAAAAAAACACAGTAAAATGTGAGATACACTGCAACAGATCCTACAATACAGTAGGTATAAAGGCAAATTATAATGACTGGAATAGACTAGAACGAGAGAGGGAGAGAGATTTTGGTTAAAGTGCAGTAGTGTTGACATTGTGAGTGTGTTCGCAGGTCTCCCTCAAACCACATGTCAAACTGATTCACTGCCGCTAAACTCAGCCCACATATCTCAGCTTAGCGAGTCAGGACAGAGAGAGGTCACTGTGTGTGTGTGTGTGAGGGGAAAACGAGAGAGAAAGTGCATAAGAGGGTAAAGTAAAGAAGAGAAGTACAGAAAGCTCTGTAGGCATGGCCATTTAATATATGCACCATAAATACACACACACACACACACACGGGTGCTAAATGAGTGTCAGTATGTCACACCTGCATGCAGGGCTGCTGCTGGCCAAATGGGTGCCCTAAGCAGAATTGTATTATTGTGCCACCTCCCCCAAATATTATGGATGTAAAAAAAAAAAAAACTACTATAGGGGCCAAAACAGAACTTTAATAAAATATAAAAGAAAATAAATAAATAGTAATTATATTATTTACAAATTACAATTGTAGCTCTAGACAGCTATCTATATGGCTTCCCAGATAAGGGTATGATTACTTATGCAATGGAATCATTTAAGTTGTTTATTTTTAATAAATTTGCAAAGATGTTAAAAGATGTTTTTTGCTTTACCATTATGGTGTATGGAGTGTAGATTGATATGGGGAAAAAAGTAATTTAAAGCAGTTTAGCATAAGGCAGAAACGTAACAAAATGTGAAAAAAATGAAGGGGTATGAATATTTTTGCAAGACACTGTAGCTCTAGACAGGCTATGATTTTATTAATACAGTTGTCTGATTGATTTTATAGTCTCAAGCATTCAGAAATCACGTAAAAGAAAACTAAGCAGTTTTACTATGATAAAACCACGGTTAATTTTTGTAAGGGTTGTGATGTCCACGTGTTTTTGTTGAAGAAATTATATAGAGGCTGTAGCATTTCTATCGCAAAAATGTGGCCAAAAATTAAAGATTAAGTGGATATTTGAATTAGCCTAAATGTTTGGTCAATATTAAATAACCTTTGCAGGCATTTGTAATCATATGTAAAGTACATAAATTGTTTATTTTGTATTACATTATGTATTTTAACAGTGCTATCAATCACGCCACTGTGCTCATAAAACAACCGCGCTTATGACTCGCTGCCTTTCATGTGCGTGGCCCCGCGAGCCCTAAAACAGGCCAGCCAAGGTCAGAGCAGCAGATGAAGTATGTGGAGAGGGGAAAACGAGAGAGAAAGTGCAGGAGAGGGTAAAGTAAAGAAGAGAAGTACAGAAAGCTCTGTAGGCATGGCCATTTAATATATGCACCATAAATACACACACACACACACACACACACACACACACACACACACACACACACACTTCGTAGTAAAACCATGGCTAATTTTCGTAAGGTAACATGGAAACTCAGAGAGATTATTAGATGCGTTGGTGGTTAAATTATTACCAACATTAAAACACGTTAATAACGTCAACAGCTAAAAAAAGTTTCACAGGATTATGAACGTAGGCTACCTGAAAGTGATGCACAGGCGTCATCTTTTTTTCTTTTTCTTTTCTCGGCACCCTGCGTACTCTGCGTATACGGAGGTACTGCCTGCATGCATGCATGTAAACACTCACCATCTGAGATGTGTCCAAAGAGACAATGGAGCGAGTCTCCTCACGAGGGCATTCTAGAGCACTGGACACGCTCGTCCCACCTGATCGATGGAGAGACAGAGTAAAACTTTAATAAAATATAAAGTAAATAAATAAATTGTAATTGAATTGTATTATTTATAAATTACAATTGTACAGTGCCTTGCGAAAGTATTCATACCCCATTCATTTTTTTCACATTTTGTTATGTTGCTGCCTTGTTAAACTGCTTTAAATTACTTTTTTTCCACATCAATCTACACTCCATACACCATACTGACAAAGCAAAAACAGAATTGTCACAACTTCGTAAATATATATTAAAAAAAAAAACTGAAATAAGTACATTGCATAAGTATATAACAATATTTAGCTGAAGCACCTTTACAATCTCAAGTCTTTTTTGTTTGATGCGACAAGCTTTGATCATCATCATTTGGCAATTATCTGCCATTATTCTCCTCACCTCTTCACATACATTTAAAGTATTTAGGTTCATGTTCTGAATACTTAATAAAAAATTATTAGATAAAATTAGTGCCGTCAAACGATTAATCGCTGTTAATCGCATCCAAAATAAAAGTTGTTGTTTACATAATATTTGTGACCCTGGACCACAAAACCAGTCATAGGGGTCAATTTCTCGAAATTGAGATTTATACATCATCTTAAAGCTGAATAAATATGCTTTCCATTGATGTATGGTTTGTTAGGATCGGACAATATTTGGCCGAGATACAACTAGTTGAAAATGCTTAGGGTCACTGTCCTGTTGGAAGATGAACCTTCTGCCCAGTCTGAGGTTCTGAATGCTCTGGACTGGGTTTTCATTAAGGCTGTCTCTATATTTTGCTGCACTGAGCTTATCTTCTACTCTGATGAGTCGCTCGGTCCCTGCCGCTGAAAAACAGCCCCTCAGCATGAGGCTGCTACTGCCACACTTTACTTTTGGGGTGGTACTCTTCAGGTGATGAGCAGTGCCTGGTTTCCTTCAAACATGATGCTTGGAACTGAGGTTCATCAAACCAGAGACTCTTGTTTCTCAGAGTCTGAGAGGCCTTTAGGTGTTTTTATGCAAAATCCATATTGAGAAAATCACCTTTAAAGTTGTCCAAATGAAGTTCTTAGCAATGCATATTACTAATCAAAAGTTAAGTTTTAATATATTTACGGTAGGAAATTTACAAAATATCTTCATGGAACATGACCTTTACTTAATATCCTAATGATTTTAAGAAAAATCATAAAAGAAAAATCGATAATTTTGACTCGTGCAATGTATTGTTGGCTATTGCTACAAATAACCCCCAGCGACTTAAGACTGGTTTTGTGCTCCAGGGTCACATATGTGTGTGTGCTTTGTATATTTATTATGTATATATAAATACACACACATGCATGTATACATTTAAGAAAAATATGTAATATTGGTGTATTAAATGTATTTATATATAATATAAATTATATAAATATATACATGTAAATATTTTCAAAACATACTGTATGTGTGAGTATTAATATATACATAATAAATATACACAGTACACACACATATATTATGTAAACAAAAACTTTTATTTGGGATGCGATTAATCGTGATTAATCGTTTGACAGCACTAGATATAATACAATTCAATTTAATTCAATTCAAATTAGCTTTATTGGCATGACTGTGTAACATCACAATGTTTGATTGGTAAATTTTTTATTTATTTTTATTGGTAAGATTTCTCCAAGACTGCATGTGTTTGCTCAACAAAACAGTAGACATTGTTAAAATGCAAAATAACCATTTTCTATCCTAATATATTTTGAAACTGCATTCCTGTGATCAAAGCTGAATTTTGAACATCATTACTCCAGTCTTCAGTGTCACACGATCCTCCAGAAATCATTCTAATATGCTGATTTGCTGCTCAAGAAATTGATTATCATCAACTCTGAAAACAGTTGTGCAGCTTATTTTTTGGTGTAAATGTAATCTACAGAAAACAATGTTCTTTTTGTCATTTAATTTGTGTTATTTTTATTTGGAGTGTGTTCAGAATTAGGGGAAAGTGAATAAAACAGCAGGAAAGTGCAAAGAAGCAAAAACTAAAGCTATAACAGTTAAATGACATGCAACAGCTAAAGTGGCAGTTTTTCATCTCGTTTTATATATAAACAATATTTAAAATGATAATTCCGATCATCAGCATTAGATGCGTTTTATTTATGCAGGTACTTGCCTCCATATGGTATCAAGCAGACGTTGTGTTTGCAGGCCAGCTCCACAATCTTCTCCACATCACTGTGACAGCCTGAACACAAATGAAAAGACCATTATAATCCACTCAACTTATTCAAACCACTTTCATATCACTATTAACAAAACATCTCTTACGCCTAGAATACGGTTTGAGACTTTAATGTTTTTGAAAGGTCTCTTATGCTCACCAAGACTGCATTTATTTTTATTTAGAAATAAAAGAAGTAAAAACAGTAATATTGTGAAATATTATTGTAATTTAAAATAACTGTTTTCTATTTTAAACTGTAATTTGTTCCTGTGATCAAAGCTGAATTTTCAGCATCATTACTCCAGTCTTCAGAGTTACACGATCCTTCAGAAATCAGTTTAATATGCTGATTGCATCTCAAACATTTCTTATTATTATCAGTGTCGAAAAACAGTTGTGCTGCTTCATATTTTTGCAGACACCATGATACTTTTTTTCAGGATTCTTTAGTGAGTAGAAAGTTCAAAAGAAGCAGAAATCTTCTGGAACATTATAATGTGTTTACTGTTCCAAACTTTTGAACAGTTCTGTACAACTGCAGAACATTTTTGTTCTGTAAGGGAAAAAAAAAACACCTCAATCCCGTTTACCTCCAGATAAGTGGATCAATATCTAGCACTGACCCACTGGAGCACATCTGACTGCCCACTAAACATCCCACACAATAACACACAGTGACAGTGAATCTAAGCTCAAAACTGTACCTTATTGTTTACAAACCGTCACATTTCTTAGTGAAAGAGAGTATTCGGCTGGAAATAATGTAAACTGGAACATGATTTCAAATCAATTTCAAATTCACATTTCATTGAGATCATAAAAAACAAGCATTTCTCGTGTGTGTGAGGGGCGACTGTGATAGTTACAGGATAATCTACTGAGGGTGAGTCCTGTATGATTGGAGAACCGCTGAGGTAAAGGAGGCGTATAACGCGGAGGCAGATGCTTTGCTGGCCGCTTGGGTACTCTTCTAATCAAAGCTCAGCCATCAATCAGAGAGAGTGAAATGGGTGCCGTCAGGACTCCACCAATCAGAGAGCAGCTAGAGTATCACTGGACGGCAAACGCCCTCTTTCCCTCTAATTAAAGCGGTTCCTCATGAATATGAATCAGCACTCAGCCACTGATGCTTAACCCTTTGCAGTCACTCACTCGGCCAAACCACCATGTCGGGCACCCGTCCTATCCTCCCCTCGCGAAGGGCAAAGACCTCATGCAGGCAGTGACCTGAGGACGACAAGAAAAAAAGCTTTCAGAAAGACATCCAAATCCAGCTCGTTCATACTAGTAAAGTACTAGACAATAAATAGCACCCAAATAAACGGAAAAAAGGGAGTTCCCGATCTTTTTTGTAATATGAACACCTATGGTCCAATTTATTAACTTGAGGTACCCAATACGATTTCAAGTAATACTGTAACCTCTTAATAAACATATCACCATTTATAAGTTTTGGGCGAGTAGGATTTATTTTTTTAAGAAATTATTACTTTTAGGATTAATTAACTTGATCAAAAGTGACAGTAAAGACATTTCATCATTTCGGTTTCAAATAACTTCTGTTCCTTTGAACTTTCTATTTATCAAAGAATCCTATTAAAAAAAAAACCGTGGTTTCCACAAAAATATGAAGCAGCGCAATGGGTTTCAACAGTGATTAATAATAAGAAATGCTTCTTGAGTATCAAAGTAGTCATGCTGAAAACTCAGCTTTGTGTCACTGATAATAGATGACATTTCAAAATACATTGAAATACAAATAAAATTGCAATTTAAAATAACTTTTCTATTTTACTGTATTTTTGATAAATAAAAGTAGCCTTGGTGAATATAGGAGACTTCTTTCAAAAACATAAAAAAAATAAATAAATTCTTACTGACCCCAAACTTTTGAACTGTAGTGTATGAGGAATAATGAATTAAATGACTTATTTTCATATATAAACTAAAGAGTAAAGTGTTTTGACCAAATCAAAATAAAAACGGGTTTATCTTTTTATTTTTTTAGCAAACTCTTTTAAAAGTAAACTCTGTAATTTAAAAAAAATAACATATTTCACCCCTTAATCAAAAGAAAATAAAAACATAACCTGCTAAAAGAAAACCTATTTTAGGACCATTATAATTTTTGCATTGTCATATTCAATGGAAAAATTATTTATTAAAATAAGGTTGCATTTCTTTATGAAACAAATTTCCCACAGGTGAAATATGAAGTAAAACATGAATAAATGAAACCAAAAAATTTTTTGAAAACTTTCTGCCAAACACAAAGATGTCAGTTCTGTACCATGAGCTCGGAAAACCCGGTCCTCTGGGTCATGTGACACGACCAGACCCGCAGCTTTCAGATCCTCGACGAAGGGCTGGTTCAGGTTAGGAGGAGCAACTGCACTTAAATTCAGACTGGGCTGGAGGAAGACACACACACACCATATTACACACACACACACACACACACACACAAGAGTCTGATATACAGCAGGTCCGATATATCACACTTGACTTACTGTCGCAGGAGATCTGTGCTGTAAATTGGCGCCAAACGTGCCCTCAAACCAGTCCTTCAGACTTGGCAAAATCAGCCCACTCAACCGATACCTGAAACCACCGAAACACACACCCATCCAGTCAAGCGGTTTCATTACAGTCAACACAGCAAACTACATTTGCATTGCCATGTAAAGATTCCTGTAAAACATGTAGATTTTTGGTTCTTAATTCAACTCAATTGTATACAATTAATGACTCATTTAATCGATTAAATCTTTCTAATGAACGACTCTCACTCTCTGACCCAATACTGTCAGATGAGTCCTGCCAGGGGCCGGTTGCATAAACTGTTTAGACAAGTCTTAAAAAGTTAGTTTTCCTCAAGACTGGTCAGAACTTTTATGAAAAGGCAGATTGGTCTTCTTTGTATTGGAGACGTAAGACTGATTACCCCTTGGCAACTGCTAGTTCTTCAGACACAGTCTTAAGGTGTTTATGCAGCTGGCCCCTGGTGTTGAGATGCAGCAGTGCAGATTCCAGACACTAGATGGCATGAGCACACCACACTGAACCACGAAAAACTACATCACGTGCACCTCTAGTCCTCCACACAGAGGAGCTGGCAGTTCCTACCAAATCTTAATATATATGTGACCATGGACCACAAAACCAGTCCTACGGGTCAATTTTTCGAAATTGAGATTTATACATCATCTGAAAGCTGAATAAATAGCTTTCCATTGATGTATGGTTTGTTAGGATCGGACAATATTTGGCCGAGATACAACTAGTTGAAAATCTGGAATCTGAGGGTGCAAAAAAAGCTATTGCTACAAATATACCCCAGCGACTTGACTGGTTTTGTGCTCCAGGGTCACATATTTCTATTTACACACACACACACACACACACACACATATATATATATATTATGACATGCCTTGTATGTGTTACGATGAAATACTGAAGCAACAGCATATCATCTGGGCATGTGTTAGATTAAACAGCGCCACTGTGTCTGTATGACTACACAGAAAAGGACACATTGTGTGACTGTGTGTGTCTGTAGGTCCTTGAGACGGTGCTTAGGGAAACTTCTCCATCCGGGCCAGTGTTATGAGTGCCACGCTCTGTGTGAGAGGCTGTTTATGCTAGTGTCCTCTATGCAGATGTTTAGAAAGCACAATGACACGTTTCAAAACACTACAATGCCCAAAATTGTCCTTGCATAGCTAGAAGCATTTACATTCATGCACTTGAGAAGAGTACTGTATGTTTTGACCGAACTGTAGAATTTCTTTAGAAAAAAAAAGAAAAAAGAAAGAAAAAATTTACTGACCCCAAACTTTTGATTAGTAGTGTATATTGTAACATAAAATTTATATTTTGAATAAAAACTGTTTATTTATCAAAGAATCCTGACACAAGTATCACAGGTCCCAAAAAATATTAAGCAGCACAACTGTTTCCAACATTGATAATAAATCAGCATATTACAATGATTTCTGGAGGATCATGTGACACTGAAGACTGGAGTAATGATGCTGAAAATTCAGCTTTGCATCACAGGAATAAATTATATTTTTAAGTATATTCAAATGGAAATCAGTTATTTTAAATTGCATTAATATTTCACAAATTTACAGTTTTTTTCTGTACTTTTGATCAAATAGATACAGCCTTGATGAGCAGAAGAAACTTCTTTAAAAAAAAACATTACAAATCTTACTGAGCCCAAACTTTTGAGTGCCAGTGTAGACAAATGTACAAATACAGTGTACTTCATACAAAATGAACTGTAGAAATTATTGTTAAACTTAATTAACAAAATCTTTAAAAATTAACTTGACTATAAATGTATAATATATGGTTAATGGTTTTATAATATGTAAATGGTCAAAAATATATAACCATTTACAAGCTCTATAAGGCAAAAAGGGTACATCTTATACACTTGTTCAATATTTTGAACACTTTTCAGCCATCTTATCCTGACAAATTTGTAATATCTTCTTTCCATCTTTGTCCACGACAAGTGGAAATAATATTTAAAGGAATGCTGTTGTCCATACAAATAAAAGCCAGTGGGGTCCAAAACAACGACTTTCACTATACGGCAGGGTTCCTCAATAGGCGGCCCACGGAAAAATGTTTGTCCCGCGCTAATTTCAAATAATGTGGCATGAAAATTCAAACGCAGCATCAGAAAGCGACATTAACTTACATCGTGTCTACACCGGAAGCGAGCGGCGCAGCGCGGCTCGACCAAGCGGCAACCTCCCGCTCGCTCTGGTGAAGCCAACAAGGAAGTGACTTAAACTGTAATTCATCAACTGGCCGCTAGAGGCTGGCTGCAAAAGGGAGTCAATCTGTATATCATGTTTAAATCCACAGATTTCCCCTCGAATTAGTGCAGTAAATACAGTATATCGGAGTCTATAAGTCTATTCTGAGTCTAAATGGTGTTTGTTTGGTGCCTCATACTCACCGTTTCCCTGTGAACTCTGCTTGACCCTTTTTAGTGAAGAGGAACCTCGAGTCACTGTAACCCCAGCCATTCCACTTCATGATCTCCTGTCTGAGAGACAGAGAGAGATAGAGTTTACATACCATTTTACAACAGCCAATAGCAAAGAAAATTCAATGATCTACACCTTCATCTTTGCGTCTACAAATATAATATTCAATTTTAGTGGCCATTATAGTGACCTGCAGATATAAACCGCTCCAGTCCTTATATTAAAAGGTCTATTTGTGACCATGGACCACAAAACCAGTCATAAGGGTCAATTTTTTTAAATTGAGATTTATACATCGTCTGAAAGCTGAATAAATAAGCTTTCCATTGATGTATGAGCGCGAGAAGGAAAGCCCCTCCCAAAACTCATCAGCCAGGTCCACCTGCAAACACCATGAGCTCATTCTCCTCCGTGCCTCAGCAGCGGCGGGTCCTGAACCGTGGGGAGCAGATGGTTGCCCCTCTTTCCTCGAAAAAAGAGACAAACGAGAGCGGAGCTTTTTCATCGAAAAACGCTCACAATGCACACAAATCGCCCCCTCAAGGACGTCGCGTGCATGCTCCTCGCCCAAACACAAAACGCAGAGATCGTGTGTGTCATCAGGTGTCAAATAGCGACGAAACGGATGCACACACCCTCTAAACACTCTGCTAGTGCTCGCCATAATAATAGGATAGAGATCGCTCTTACCATGTTCAAATGCACGCTTCAAACAAAACAGTCAGTGAAGACGAAGAAGAGAATGACATGTTCTCCCGGGCGCCTATTTATACTAATAGTCGCACCGGTAGTGACGTCATGGGCTGTCGCCGGCCAACGTGTTGTTGGTGTTTTTTCAATGTATGCTTCAGACACGGGTCACGACGAGGCGTTCCCCCCATAGCGACCCCTAGAGGACGCAGTTCGAAGTTCCCTTGAAAGGGAAATACCCCAGCGACTTAAGACTGGTTTTGTGCTCCAGGGTCACATATGATAACAGGCACTCATGAGTTACTATGGAAGTCCTGAAGGTCACACCATTCACTTCTGCTGAGACAAGACGGACAGACCTTCAGATAAGAGAGGTTTTGAAAGAGTCAACAGCAGTTACAGCAAATTACCTGCTATCTTGATCTGTTTGAGGCACTGCATGAAAGTGCACGAAACTTCACAATACAAAAACCTGCTATTAAGTGTTTTTCAAGTTTAAATGTATTATGTTTAAAGGTTGTAGTTAGGGGACCTTCATGCTTTAAAAAAAACATTTTACATTTCCAATATGGATCAACATTGTACGAATTCATACTAAATATTTATTTTGTATACATATTTCTATATATTTTCTCATGAGATCAAGCTGATTATATACATCTTCACACAAGCTGCCGAAAAACTTATCTTTAGACCCAACAGGTCAAAAACCAAAGAAAATATGTGATCTTTCTTGATGTGTCACATTTTTGAGCAGCTTTGCTCATCTAGCACACACCACGAGGTAGTGAACAATGTACTAAAATAAATAAATAAATAAAATAATATATATATTTATATATTTATTTATATTATATTAAGTGATGTACTTTTTGCAAAAGAATCTGATTCTGTATAGACAATTTCTTTTACAACATTTCTAAATAATAACAATGATAACAACAAAACAGCAACAACAACAATAATACTACTACTAACAACAATAAGCTGTTGACCCTTCACAAAGAGCTTGATTGACAGGCAATCTGACCAATCATAACGCCATCTTGTCCGGCAAGCATATCAGACAGGAGAGTAGATTAACTTCCACAGTTGAAATAAAATGCGTTCTGATGTTCATTCATGTTTATTTCTGCTTTATTAAGTAGACGATCAGTTCACGTGCCGCTTGAACTGAGGCGCTACAGCAATCCGTCACAACACTTATAGAGCCAAAAAACGGTATTTATTGTTAGAATTTCTTTTTTTTTAAAAAGTCAAAATTTGAGAGCTGAGTTTGTTTCATGCATAAAGTAACCTGGGGCCCGTTTCAGAAAGGAGGTTATGTGAAAACTCAGAGTATGTTAACCCTGAAATGAGGGAAACTCTGGGTTTTCTGTTTCAGAATGGGAGGTATGTCAAACCCGAGAAAGCAGAGTAAGTCGAGCCCGTTTCTGAAAGAGAGGTAACTTACTCTGTGAACCTAACCTGGTCAGGAGCAGGTTTTCTTCGGTAAACCCAGAGTTTCTTACGGTCTACTCCCCCTTTTTAAAACGCAAGCGATGTTTAAATACTTCAATCATTCATGCACGCTGCAAAAATGATTTTTCTTACCAAGTATTTTTTTCTTATTTCAAGCACAAATAAAAAATTCTTAAATCAAGATGGATTTTCTATATAAGAAAATTATATAAGATATTTAGTCTTGCTTGCAGCGGGGATCTAAATTAAGTGCATTTTACTTAAGTAAAATTATCTGCCAGTGTGGTAATAAAAATAATCTTAATGCAAATGGAAAACAAGATTATTCGGAGTGTCTATTACTAAGTGCAGATTTACAGTAGCCCCGACCTCCAATGTCACACAAGGTTAAATACGACGTGCGTGAATAACGGCTTCAGTAGTGTAAGCAGTAACGCGTTGGGCGCGGAGAACCAGCTTGTGACACGATTGACCGGGTTCGAGTCCGGCTCTTCTCACTTTTCCCATCACATATCACATTCGAATTTATTTTCAATAAAAATTAAGAAAATGTTCTAAAAGTGGAAGTGCCTAACGAGTGTTTAATAATGATAGAAGTATTTATAATTGTAATAAATATAATCATTTACACTCACAATACTGAGGTGCAAATAGTATGTATCTGCCAGTATAAAGTATAAATGGCATCTAATTATTATTTACACTTATTGCAAAGAACTGCTACTTTCACATGGTAAATAGAATATATCACTATTTTCACTATAGTGTAAATAGCATCTAGAGCTATTTGCACTTAGCCTACTGTAAATAGGATCTATCGCTAAGAAAGTATGCTAATTCCACTTAGTGTAAATAGCCGCTGCCGTATTTTTCTTACCCTATTGGCAGATCGTTTGTAAAATAAGAAAAATGCACTTAAATTATTATTAAATATTTTGTTGCCCGTGGGATACCATGAAAATTAATAGCCTATTAGTTCAATAACCTACTGTTCTGCCAGTTTTCACCTGTGATATTATAACAGTGATAAGAATTAAACGTGTATTGACTCTGACGTATGCAGAAGTCTTTTTGTCGGGTGCTGTTGCCATGGTGAATCGTAATATCGGAGCTCCATTGATCATGGCTTTTCATATGATTGGAGCAAACGCTTAAATAGGAGTCAACCTACTCAGAGTCGATTGAACTAACTCAATTCAGCTGTTCTGAAACCGAAAACTCACAGTTCCCCATCTCACAGAGTAAGTCAACTCAGAGTTCACGTTTTAACCCAGAGTTGGTTGAACCTCCTTATTGAAACGGCCCCCTGCTCGGTCTTGTCTGTCGGCGTGTTGTCAGTTTCCTCTTTGCTCTGCGATGTATTTTTTACTGTGAGAACATGGTGTGTAATGTGAGCGCGGCATGGCTTGCTGGACAAAGCAACAGTAACTAAGGAGGGCGGGTTTTTGAGAAGGGTTAATTGAGTGCAAAACTGTTTAACAAAATTATGCCATGAGAAAATGTTTTGGTTTGAAAATAAAATAAAATAAAACAAAAAAATAAAATAAAATAAAATAAAAGGATAATTTTCTGTATCCATTAATTTTTTTTAATATTGAACTTTCATTAAAAATGATTTTAAAAGTGACAATTTGAATTTTGAAATTTTGAAGTTTGTTTTCTTATGCTTGACAAGTTTTAACAAGCATAACATTTCACCGATCAATTTGTCAATTTAAAACTTATATTTCACAATATTACTGTTTTACTGTATTTCTCATCAAATAAATGCAACCTTTACAAGCATTCTTTACAAGACTTCTTTCAAAAATATATAAAATCTGCCTATAACATAAAATAAACAGAAATAATGCTATGTTAAACTGCTTACACTATGTATATGACAATTTGAGTTTTGAAATTTTGAAGTTTGTTTTCTTATGCTTGACAAGTTTTAACAAGCATAACATTTCACCGATCAATTTTTCAATTTAAAACTTATATTTCACAATATTACTGTTTTACCGTATTTCTCATCAAATAAACGCAACCTTTACAAGCATTCTTTACAAGACTTTTTTCAAAAATATATAAAATCTGCCTATAACATAAAATAAACAGAAATAATGCTATGTTAAACTGCTTACACTATGTATAGAAAAGTCTTAGTTTACCTCTAATCAGTGCTGATGAAGTAATAACCTTAAATGAACAGTTTATAATGTTTCTTCCACATCACACTCTCCTTAAGTTACGAAAACCCTTATTTATAGTTGTGAGCAGAGCTGGGAAGTAACTGATTACATGTAATCTGGATGGCGTAATCCGATTCCAAAAATTAAGTACTTGTAATTAGATTAAATTACATTTTAAAATATTTGTAATCAGACTACGGTTACTTTTTTTATGGATTAGCCTACATGATTACATATTATTTACACAATAATTAAAAAAAATGTATGATTTAATTAATTAATTTAGCTTTTTATTAAACTCATAAACCCCGTGCAGGTCCTTCACAAACCCAGTTTGGGAAAACTTGATGTAATATAATGTTTAATGCACTTCATATTGTTGATAACAATGAGTGGAATATATTTTCTTACTCTTAATATGGTACAAAATTGGTATCCTATTTAAATCAATGTGAGAAATGGGATATTTCAAAAGTAATCTAAAAGTACTCCGATTATATTACCTAAAATGTGTAATGTAATGGATTACGTTACTAACTACAATTTTTGTCATGTAATTTGGAATCAGTAACAGATTACGATTTGTAAGGAATCTACCCAGCTCTGGTTGTGAGGATATTATCTTAACTTGAACCGTCAACTGGTTTGTGGTCTTTAAGCACGGGCAATCACTCAGAAAAATAACAGCACACTTCTCTTCTCGTTTCTCAAACTTCTACACATGAGTAACGATAAGTGTGATGATTGCTGATCAATGATTTGCTTATCAAGCCAACTAAAGCGCACGATGATCCCTCCAGGCTTCAGTGCAGCTGTGATCTCTGGAGCGCTGCGCCTGCTGTGGGACTCGACTCAAAACACACACACTGTCAGATTGCAGAAACACGCGAGCGGGTGATCAGAGACAGGAATCTTCTGAGAAACAGACAGAGTCAAACCCTAAAGCACTCATCAAACGCACAGCCGTTCATGAGGACTTCTCAACAGCAAAGAGCAGTGTTTATGCTATATTACGCTATGTCCAGCATAAATCGCACAGGAAAATACTTTATGGATTTTTTTAAGCATTGTAAACTAAAACACAAGGCAGACTATTCCTACCATCAAATTCTGTCTTCTACTCACCTATATCATGAGTTGCTTTCTTCTGCTGAACACAAAATTGCTATTCTGATATTTTGAAGAATGTTGGTAAGAATATTTGTACCATAAAACAGTTGACGGTAGCCACTGACTTACATTGCATTTTATTTAAATAATAAATAAATTTAAAAAAACATATTTGAGGATCAGTAAATTAAGATTTTTTTTTTTTTTTTTTTGGAGAACTATCCATTTAACTTATTTAAAGGTGCACAGTTTAGGCCTAACCTCAAAGCATTTTAAACAACTTAAAGATGTGGTCAATTTGCCATTTCTCTGCAAATTTTTGAGGCAAAATCAAGAGATTTCAACAGGAACCCACACGTTCAGGAGCAGTGTTGAGGGTAACGCATTACAAGTAATGCAAGTTACGTAATCAGATTACTTTTTTCAAGTAACTAGTAGGGTTACATTTCGGAAACATTCCAGAAATTTTGGAAACTTTCCAGGATTTTTTGGAATATTCCAGGGATTTTTGGAAAGTTTCCAAAAACTTACCAAAACAAATTTCACCCCTTTGCAACCCTAGTAACTAGTAAAGTAAATCATTACTTTTACATTTTACAAGAAAATAGGCCTCTGTGTTACTTTTTTAAATAAGTAATGCAAGTTACTTTGTTTTCCCATTCACTGACTCCTCTCCCATCCCCGTGTTCAGAGGAATTGAGAGTGAGGTGCAGAGGCACTTCCTTCAGCCCGAGGCTTATTCATTTCCCTTTTTGTGTGAAAGGGCCTTTACAGTTGCCAAAAATATAACTTTTGGGTTTTTTGTTATTGAAAAACAAAACAAATCCTGCACACTGCCAAACTTTGCAAAAAAAGTATCAAAAAAGTTTATTTACAACGTTTCGGTCAGGTATAGTCAAACATGTAATTGCAAACTAAATCACATCAAAAAGAAATAGTGACCAATCTCTGCGAAGGACCATCGATTAATAATAAATAAGCAAGCCCAGCTCAGGTGACAAAGAGTAATGCAAAAGTAAATGTAATGCATTACATTCCATAAAAAGTAACCAGGTAATGCAATTAGTTACTTTTTTATTGAGTAACGTAACACTGTAATGCATTACTAAAAATAACTTTCCCCAACACAGGAGTCTCACGTAAGGCCAAAAACGTCCCCAATACAGATTTCGCTCATGTTCAAGTCAGCCTTGCAACTTCACCACCTTAACTAGCAGAAACATTGCTTGGTTTGAAAGTGGCTTTCTTTGTCACTACGTCTACAAGGCAATGGGAAACATTTTTGCTAAATATTGCTTACGTGGCCACAATTTACTTTATGTTCTTTGACCATGTTTACACATCCACACCACTAGGTGTCTGTGTAAGTCCAAGGCGACAAATACAGTCTCATGGCAATTGGTATTTATTTTACATTATGGCAACTGGTGGCTAATTTGTATGAATTCGTCCAGTCTCTATCATATGTTTTTGGAAGATCTGCTTGCGCCCCATGCACAAACGCTGGTCATCTTCATGCTTTTTTTTCTAAAAATCGTACATTACCACATGAATCGCATTATACAAATTCATACAAAATCACCACCTTGTAAGGTATTTACAGTATGTTTTTCTCATGATATCAGGAAACTTATCCAGCTAACAAAACAAGCCAATTTAAAAAAAAATTGACCCGACAGGTAAAAACCAATGGCCAAAGACCAACAATTCTTGATGAGTGATTCATTTTTGAGCAGTTTTGTTCATCTGGCGCACACTATCAAGAGGAAATGTTTTAAACCCCTTCAGTATAATGCCTGGCAAGATGAGATAATGCTGAAAAGCAAATGTTGCCAATGACTATTGGCAGTTCAACAACCTTTACATCTACCATTTCTCTTTGACATCAAACATTTAACACATACAGAAACTCCAGCAGTATCTTATCAATGCACCACACTGGATATACACTACTATCGGATAAAATAGTTCCTGTATTGTTCTGAAATGTCTCAAAAAGTCTCACAATTTATTTCCAGAACACGATGCATGATGGGATACACTTAGCCTCGAATACCACTCCCAGAGCGTTATATATGAGAAAGTGTGGATTTAGTGTGCATTAAGGGCACTGCGCTTTGGTGTTTTTAAGACCTGGGACAGTCTTGCGCACTTACTTCCTGCTGCGTGCATGCGCTCAAGTGACCAAGACTGCAAGTGTGGGTATTTGGACAGGCCTTTGTGGTCTTCATACCCATTTGGGCCAAAAACAGGAAATATGTCATGCAAGTGGTCAAGTGCAAAGACCGCAAGTGTGGGTTCATACTGAGAAGTTCATTCGGAGAAACAGGATATGACAAAAAAAAATAATATCTTAATCATTTGAAAAATCTAAATACTAAAATCTTTCCACTGGGGCTTGGTAGGTTAAAGGTTGTTCAATGTCCAGCACTAGATGGCAGCACAGTGCCGTCATCCCACATGAAGGAAGTACATTTTCACTCTTAGCAAATACAAAGTCAGGCCACCACAGCCCTCATCCAATCAGAGCACAGCCCTGCCATACTAACTTTTGACATACAAAATACAACTTGTGGGGAGATCACCTCATATTAGCTAACGTTCATAACAATAGACTGCATGACCAATAATCTATCCACTAAATTATAAGAGTAAAGTGATACCAGCTGTCAACAAAGAAAAGCAAGTAGCATGGAGATTATTGACCATAAGTGTGTAATAAACACCCCAGTGATGCAGTGAAGAGCCTCAGTCTAGTGCTGTCGACTCTATAGACAGACAGAAATAACCAATGCCCTTTCCGATTACAGAAGCACCATCACGTCCAGTGAAAGCACATGTCTGAAAACAGAGGAATCAGAATCAATGGGGTTTTCAATCTTTATAGACAGAAGGCCCCGAAACTCAGCCTGCCAGTCAACGCCTTCCACAATCATTAATTATTATTAGCAGATTATTCAAGAGTTAAGGTCACCAAGCTCTATATATATTCTCCAAAAGAGCCTCTGGAGACTTTCAGAGGACCCAAATTAAAAGACTGTCACCTTTATTAAAGCTAAAGCTTTTTAAACAAAACCAGTTTCTATAGATGGAACATATTTTATATAGCACCATATGTCTCGCTCCACATGACTTCTGTGACATGTTTCCAATCTGCTGACAGCCTGCTGTGAGGGACAGACCCAAATTTAAGCTATTAACTGAACATTTGCCCTGGTTCTTCAATCTCGTTAACTTGGGGCTGAGTAGATGACGACAGACATTATTTTTTGGGTGACCTATAGCTTTAAGGGCTGATGCGCGTTTGTAATGTGCACTGGAGGAACCAGCAGCAGACACGCGCCGTCTTCAGCACTGGTTTGCTCGCTGAACTGCTGCAATAAGCACAATGCTCTGTGTCAAGAGAAAACAAGATGTGAAGTGTCCATCAGTGTGTAGCTGTCGCGCGCCACCGGGATGAATGGACACTTTGTTTAGATCCAGCTCTAGAGCGCACAAACTGATACAATGTATCGCCCGCTTCTGCTGCTTTACTGCTTTACTGCTTAACGCGACTGCTGTTTAATCGCAACGCCGTGTTTATTTGTGAGTCTGGGTGAAGAGCCGGGTCTCTCAGCACACAAGCTGACTCGCACATACCTCCTCCTCGGTACCGGTGTCGCGCTGCTCGGCTCGGACCGGGGCGCCTCGGCTTTGCACTCCTGCGCAGCGACGCTCGCGTTTTCATCTTCTGGCCGTTTCTGCAAATGTCCGGCTATGATCCTGAGTCTCTGCTGTGCGGTGCTGCTGCTGCTGTTTGACGCCATGCTGCTTCCGTGTTTGCTGTCAGAGGTCAGCGGGCGGCTGATGGAGATCACACCCACGTCCCGTCATGCACCGCGCTCCGCCTCCCTCCCCGCGCGCTCCGCTCCGGTGCGCTATTACTGACTGGAATACAGAGGATTTCCCTTCAAATAAATCCTAAACCATGCTGTTTATTTTTTGTTAGTAGATACCACTTTTTCAGTATCTTATCTCTAATAATACCAGAAAAAAAAAAATAATAATAAAAAATAAATATATATATATATATATG